GTGCAATCTAAGACCATAAAAATATTTACAAGATATTTAAAATAAGTCTTATAAATGTTTACAAATATTTTGTAAATATTTCATAAATATTGTGTGTCTGGGCTACAAATATTTTTCCTAAAGCAGTCCCTCCGCAGAATTTATTTTTCATATTTTATTTTTGATGTTAATCGTTTCTGAGCTAATTGTATGCTAAAGACGTGACAATACTTTCTCCTTATTTATATTTTTCAAGCTAATTTACATTTTGTGTGCTGTGAATTTTCGTTAATTAGATATATTTACGAGTTTAATGAAAATGCAAGTTTTCAATATAGTAGCGTTACTGCATTCGATAGCATAGCTATGTTATAGGATTTAAGACTAGAAACTCCCATCTATCTTTACGATTAAATTGTCGCTGATATATATATATATATATCCCCCTTATATGTGACTTCAATTTAACTGTAATAACGGCGACACTTCCTATGAAAGCGCTAGTGCGTTCTCAAAGCGCATTGAGCGTATCAAGCACGCGGTGCTGCTTAGTCGAATCGAATCGGGATAAGCTGGTATTCGTCGTAATGCATTAATACGGTTTCATTCTTGAAAGTAAAAAAAAAAGGTAGAAACCAACTACGGTGACTTTCTCCTATTATATATATATATATATATATATATATATATACCGTGTACAACGGAGATCGCATTTATCGCTAAAAGGCGCCCCACGGAAAATAGCATTCACCAATTCAGGTGCCGTGCGTGTTTTTCTCGTCCAGCTACGATATGCGATTTTCATATAGGAGAGACTCCCCCTCGTTTGCGTTAACTCGACATGACGACAGCCATCCTTTTCCATATATTCGTCAGGCAATATCTACCGTCATCGGTTTCGCCATATTCAACCATCCCTATGATGGAGGCAAACGCTTCTTCACGTACTTTCCTTTCTTTTTTCATTTATACGAGTTGCCCAAATTTTTTATAGAAGCGGAAGCAGATTGCTTCGTATTGCTCGACCACGCAAGCTGGCTGCCATCGACGTATATCGAATTACGGCGCGATTACGGAAGCTTTATGCGTATTACGTGAATGCAGGATTGGAGTCGCGTCTATTTTTATCCTTGCCCACTTCGTCGAATTTTTTTTTTTGCGAAGTTTCTACGCGAATGAAGACGCCAGGGCGAGTGAGAAAAATGCGAAGGGAGGTGATACGTGTCCATTTATTATCTTTGTTGGGACAGAGTTAAAGCAAAATTACTGATATTGCTGATAACACACCCCCTTGTCCTGTATATATTTTTGAGAACCCGATCGAGGAGGACCAGAGCTCTGTTTTTCCGCCGCACGAACGCGATGACATAATACCGCCGCCATAAGAGCGCCGAATTACGACGCTGGCAAACGCGCGCGCACACATTGCCACACGCAAACGCACGCACACGCGCCCGCGACCTACGCTGCAACGCGCGCGCGCGGAGCCGTGCACACGCCCGTATTGCAGCAACATATGTACACTGCGTGCGTGCGCAACGCTTGGGATACGCGTGCATGTGTGTGTATGTGTGTGTGGCTGAGGCGCGCGTGCGGCCCCGCGGCGACCTTGAGCCTCCCTCTCGGATCCCCTTCTCTCTCTCTACAGTGTGCGTTTTGCCACCACGCAATGCTGCGATCCCCACCTATACAATCGCAATACGTATATTTCCCTCTTCTTTTTCGACCTCCTCCTCCTCTTCCCCCCCCCTCTCCTCCTTCTTCACCTCCTTCCGCATCTCTCACCGCGCTCCTCCTTTCGCGCGATTCCGGAGCCACGCAACTCTCGAGGCGCCTCCAACGCCTAAATTTCCCCTCCGCCTTCACTTTTCGTACCGCTGGTGATTCCAGCGATGAGAATCGATCGCGCTGCTCCGCTGATTTTTGATTCGAATTCGACCATGCTGTATGACTGTATCGAGTTTATATTCTCGTCTGCCGAAAAAAATTAAGTAACTTCCAGATGACAAAGTGGACTTACCAAATTTTACTTGCAAATTGCCTTCGGATCATCTGCGTGCACGTACTCAGAGAAAAAAGTCGTATCAGTAACTATAAATTTGTAGTGAAATAGCGCCTCAACTATATACATATATTAAATTCTAATAAGAATACTAGATTAAGTGAACTAAGAAAATATAGTACATTAACCATATAAACAACTTATAAATGGTTAATATTACTATATTTTCTTTAGTTCATTTCTAAGTTATTGTTCTTATTATAGCTTTATAATACGTAGTTACAAATTTGTATATGCATTTCTTATTCATTTTTGTCTTCCAAGTTTGAAACCAACGCTGCGCCTCTTATTGTAAGTTGAGTGATTTCCTTCTTAGGAGAAACTGAACTCCGCTACGTCCCTCTGGTGACAAAGCCGCGTACTACTCGTACTGAGCGACACTTTAAAAATTTTTGTCTAAACTAGAAAAATGTAATTGTTCTATTTGCATGAAGTCCAAGTAACTACTCAATGTAGTTGAGTCACTATTTCAGTACCAATTAATAGTGCATACAATTTGTTACCGTGACTATATTTTTATAATATTCAGCACTACTTTAGTTTCTATTACTTTGTAAAACTAGTTACAGGTACTTCAATTGCAAAAGTTGCCAAATTTATAGTTGTTGGAACTATTTCGTTTTCTCTCAGTGCGTGCGCTTATCAAGTCAAGGTTGTCGTTGCATACTCGAAGACACTTTTTCTACCGCATGATTCCCGTAGGTGACGTTTCACTCCCGCGATGCGGCTCTGGTATAGGTTGGTTAAGAAGTGGGGACGCGTGATACCTTAGAAGCGTTAGGGAACGGGGAGGGAGAGGATAATGTTCGAAAATGAGACGGAACAAGATAGAACGTCGTAGCGCGCGCGAGAGCGAAAGAATAAAAAAGTTTAGCCCAGGAAAGAGAGAGAGAGAGAGAAACAGGAGGGGAACACTGCGGAGAACCGCGAGAGCCGAAACTTCTAGCCTTAAGTAATCCCTACCCCTCCGCCGAATCATCAATCCCCCGCCCTTGACCACCCACCCGGGATCCTCCTTTCCCCGGTGGTTCCGTGTTTTGCCGGGTGCCCGAAGAGAACACCGAAAACCCCCTACACGCCTCGATTCCGTGTAACCGCATTTGCATCGCCATCGATGACCCATATTCACATTCTTCTCGGCGATATACAGCAACAGCGGTCCCTCAGTGTTGCGTCTTTCCCGTCCCTCTCTCTTTCTCCCCCTAGTTCCCTCTCGAACGGTCCGTTCCCGTCTCCTATCGTCTCACGGTACCGCGCTACCGCCTCCTCGTTCCCTCTCGCTCGCGCCCGCGATTTTTCGGCTGCCGCGCATCGGTGGACCCTCCCGCACGGCGACCGCGCGTACCCGGGCCCGGTTGCACCGCAAACGACGACAGTCACGCGCGATTCGTTCATATGCCGATGCGCGATGCAAGCCGGTGACTCGATTTCGGCCGGCGAGTGCGTATAGTCAGTCGTCTATTTGGTGCTCACGCAACCCGATGCGTCATTGGTCCCGGACGTACAGCGGGATCGGGCGGGAGTTCTACTCGAGATTTCTATCTACTTTTACGCGCGTTTTTACACTCTTGGTGATACCAATTGATCGGTGATACAACGCACTGTGGACACTGCCACGCGCGGATTATGCGCCACACAGAGGACACGTGCGCGTGATGTAGGACTCTGTAACTTCTTTTTTCTCTCCTTCCGGTAGTGACGGCGTGTCCATCCGGGACGCAAAACAGAGACTAAAGTGCATTTCGGAGTAACGTCGCCGATTGTCGTTGTTGACGGTTACGTCGTGGAAGTCCGTGAATGAAGTTAAAACGGCTGTTCCGCTCGTACTGGTTGACACGCCCCTGCCATCGCTAAGGTCTCCTCTTCTAGCTCAGCGTTTTATCGCGGGTGTCGCGGAAATGCGGTGAAATTTCGACATGGCGCGGCCGGCATTGTGTGATCGCGGTTCGTGATTGCCGATAGGCAAGGTACTCCGCATGCGACCGCGATTCTTGAGAATTGGAATTGTTTGTTTTTGTGTCTGAGGTTTATCGCGACGAAACGCACGCGCGAAACAACGATTGCTGAATCACACGTTCGATAATTTCTCTGTCACGATAAACATATTACGTACGGAGTCAGTAAATCGAAAGAGGTATGTCGTGTTTATGAAGTATCTCGAAGTTATCAACATCCAATATTTAAAACAGGTGACAGTAATGAGTAATGTGTCGTAACAATAATGCAATCTGTAAACTTTCATCGCGCGTTCATTCACGGATCGAGATCTGGATGTAGTATACTCCGACTTCAATTATACAATAGCGAATGTAAATGTTTTATATGAAATGTTTCTTTCATATTTATTGGCTTGTGAAACTTATTGATAATTTTATTAAATTTCTAATTAAATTTTTTCAAAATTTAGTTTAATTGCTTTTTAACATCAAATATATAATATTATATATATATATATACACACACACACACTTCTCGGCAAAAGATAAAAAGACAGATAAATACCTATCATTATTTATTAAATGTTCTAGATTTGGGAATCCTCTCAAGCACTAAAAAGCAATACATAATTGAATAACAGAATAAGAGAAATTGAAACCAAATACATAAAATTAAATTACAAAAATAAGATGAAAATAAAATATAAAAATAAGAAAAGATAAAAATTGAGAAACAGAATACTGAAAAAAATTTACTAAATCTTAATACATATTTTTTTAAATAGCACTAAATAAACATTTACTTACAATAAATAAATTCTTATTCAATAAGAAAAAATGATAGTTAAATTAAATTAAAGGTTTTTGTTTAAATATTTACTTACAAATATTAAAATATTTATTAAAATTTAATTTTTTCAGTATAGGTAATAGTAAAGATAAATTATAACTTAAAATAACGAGCGAGAGAAAGAGAGAGAGAGAGAGATATTTGTCGATAATCGAGTTTACTTTTTGCGTAGCTGGACGAGCAATTGGGCACGAGCGCGATCAAGAAGGTAAATACCCATTGGAAGGTGGTTGCAAAAGGAGCGGTGAAGGTCACGGAATTAAGCCTAAGGGTGGCATCATGGACTCTCATCAGCAGCAGTTTTGTCTCAAGTGGAACAGTTTCGGCAGCAATTTAGCAACGACGTTCTCGAATTTATTCAAAAGCGAGAGTCTCACCGATGTCACCCTGTTCTGCGAGGGTAAGTTTTTTCACGTGTGAAAATGCATTATTTTTTCTTCTTACAATCGACGCGTATTCTTTTACGACATGAACGCGACAAATGAGTTTCTCTGTCGAAATAATTTTTCAGTGTGATTCGGACAAAAGGAATTCTACTAGTCGACTCGTTAAATATTTCGAGAAATTAATAGATGTACCGTAAAATGATAACTTTAGCTCAAAATCAGGATAAAGGATTTGTGACTTAAAATAATTTAATAATTTCAATAACTTTTTAATTTTAATTTAAATTTTAATAATATAGACAGCGCGCATGTCAAAATGTCTTAATAACGTTTTAAGTCCTGATTTTGGACATATGTGTTGTCTCGTAATTTTTTAAAAATTTGAATCAAATTATTTTGAGTGGGCCAAAGTTATGGTAACCCAATTTTATGGTAAAATAATCGTTGAATATTTCAAAGAGTTGTTAGACGTAATACGAGAATCTGAGTAAAATATTGAAGAATTCGACCGTCTATTCCAAGACCTTGACTCTTTAATCTCGCTTATGTAGGTAGTAGGTCGACGCACAAAAAGAAACAACTTCGTCGAATTGCATTCACTCGTAATATTTCTAGCGTCACATGCGCTGCATTTACCGATACGAATCGAATCGAATCTACATAAACGACGAGAAGGTTTCATGCTTTCTCGCACGAGCGGGCAATTTCGGGCTTTCACTTTTTCAACATCACTTTTAAATAAGGAGCACCTAAAGATTCCACCGTTATTCTTTCGATAGCTGCTTTTGCGTCATCGGACGCAATCGGACGTGTTGACGCGTTGCAATTAATGCAGCACCGGGCACGTAATCGATGGCCATTCATTTAAGTGATTTAAATTAATTTGATATTCAATTATTTTCCAATGTAAACATCACGTTTATAAACGGTAATCAAAGCAGCGGCGAGTTTTTGCGTCACAGTATTGCAAATTGTCACATGCGTAAATCAAAAGAGACAGGCTAAGTTGTTACTCTTGTTTTCTAACGGACCACCGCAATGGCGGCGGTTATCGAATGAATCAGCTCTCTTTCTTTTTTTTCGGAATTTTTAGAAGCTTCATAAATTCTCAAAACAATTATACATCTTGAGAAAAATCATTTCGTATTCAACCAAAATTTTAATTAGGACAACAAAGGTTTTGTTATTCTAGCCGTCGTTGTAGTAAAAATTTCGTTAGAATAACTACTATATATTCTAACCAAATTTTGGTTAGAACACAATTTTTTAATTAAAATTTGTACGTACAAAATGATTTCTTTCAGTGTATAGTAAATGATTTACAAAAAAACATAATAAAAAATAAAGATGCGTCTGTTGCTAAAATTAGAACAAGAGAAGAGGTGTACCATAAACACTCGTATGATTTATGTGAGAATTGATTCATGTGAGAAAAATCTATTCATGGAAAAAAGGAAATTGGTAAAAATTATTTGGCTGTATTTGGCATAACAATAAAATCTTCAACACTAAAACCGCAGGTCTAAATTAATCTAATCGCGGTTCGAGATAAATTTAGCTTTCTATGAGAGAGGGTTGTCACTATAAAAGTAGAATTACTCCTAATTAATTATGATTATTTATGAAAGATCACAGAAAATTAAACTTCACGTACAAATCCAAATTAATTAGAAAAGAAAAACTATCAGATGAGTAAAAAAATGGTACACTGTTAAATCTATAATGTCAAATTTAACCTAACGTGAGTCGCCACTGCTCCTACTAAATATTACATGTTAAATTTGACACTATATCGTATCAATTGGACACTATATAGTGTCAAATTGACCGTATAGTATTAACTATAGCCATTGTTTTAGTCTAAAATAACGATATGATTGAGTAGAAGCAGTGGCGACACGTTAAGTTAAATTTGACACTATAGATTTAACAGTGCATGTACAGCCGCGGTTCTAGTGTTAAAGAGTTCGTACAACGTGAAAGAAAATCGATCAAGTATTTTACATCGTCCGTTTTGCGCTTCATAAATCGCGTCCGATCAAACGCGAGTCGCGACTCCTTGCGCGAAAGGGCGAGCTGGCGGCGCGTTGCATTCGCACGCTACCACTTCGTCGGCAAGTGGTACAAGTTCGCGACTGCATAGGAAGTGCATGGGGTAAACGATTGGACCGACCCCCTACCCTCGCTGGCCACCCAATCGGCAGCGCGCAGAGTCAGTCGGTGCACGTGTGAGTCTCGGTTCTTGCACATCGTGGTGTACGAATGCAGTGTATGCACGTGCACACGCGAATTTCCGTGTGCGCCTTCCCCACCGACGCAGCGAGTGCAGCGGGTGCTCTTGCGGCACGTTCGCGCGAAACCGCAGTTCGCACCGAGCAGCGGTGCAACGCGCTTGTTTTGGGATTGTGATCGCGCGGGTTCGTCAATCGTGCGAACGATTGGTATTTTCAGTGATTGGTATCGAAATCTTTTGCGGAAATTGTAATAAATGACGAATTCGATTGGACACAATAATACGCACAAGGCACCTATCATAAACAAGTCAAAATGGATTCCGGAATTATTTCATTTGCTCTAAAAAATACAATAGAAATCTAGGAAATAATTGAATAATTCCGGTCGGAATTCATTTTGAATAACTCCATAATACGTACCGTGGGGCATATTAGTCGTTGATTTAATCTGAGTGTAAAAGTGAAATGCAAATATTTCGAAATATAAAATACGTTTACCTAACAACACAATAAAGTGTATTAAGAATTTCACTTTAATCGATTTTTGTGTTTATGATAAACATATCTTTACGTCAATTTGCGTACGACTTTAAATATATGCATCAGTGCGCACTGAGTGCGTCCAATCAAATTCGATAAGCCTCATCGACTAGAATGCGATAAATGAGATACGTGGTCGATGATGTCTTTAAAAGTCTAAACAAATTGTAGAAATCACGCGATCGATGAATTTTTCGTCAGGTGGAAGTGAATGCGTAAATATGCGTTATTGCAATCCGCGCAATTACGTCCGTGTATTACGGTGCATACTGGTGAAGTTGCGCAACGTCAATAAAATTCGAGAACTTATCAGAGGAAGTGCACGATAACGTGCGTGTATACTTGAAGCTAAATGTCAGTATGTATAACTAGATATTCGCTGCTTTATCGTTCGCGCTGAATAAACAAGAATGTGCAATTTCAACAAACGTTCTTAGGTACGTTCCCTGCTTTTTCGACGCGACCGACTAATGCAAGACGTATATGTGCGCGATAACGTGCGTGTATATTTAAAGATTCTTCAGTGTTCCTCTAAGTGCGCGGCGCGTGAAGTCGAGTTCCGATCGATCAACTAATCTTGCATGACCGTAGAATCGATCAAGTTAATTGACCAGTTGGTTCACCACTTGTCGCGCGAGTCTTTTTTTTCTATTACGAATATTTTCGTAGTTATTCAGTGATTGGTAAAGCTGAATCATCTTCTCGACATTCTGATTATCATCGAACTTTCAAATGCGGTTTCGATTGTATTATTCAGACTTTAGGAGATTTGATAATATTAAAATGTAAGTAACATCATTCATCAGAAACACGCTTCTCTTCGTTATTGTTATTACATTTCCTAAACTTGTGCATAAAAGGACAGGATTTTATTAAGAAATTTGTTCTATTATTTTTATATCGCTCGTCACTTATTTACATCAGCCATTCATCTTAATTGATAAAGATAAACGGTCTTAATAGAGCACGTGCATAATCAGCAAAACATCCAACGAGCTAAACACTTCGTCGAGTAAACACTAATTTATCACATACACTGATTTCATATCTATCTAACATACAAACCGGATAAGTATACCGCATAAAAGCGATAATATTATCTCTTGCAGTTAGACCATAAATATACGAACTTATAACGAGGTCAATCAAGAGAGAGAAGTAAGTTACCTTCTTATAATTTTTCATTGCTGCAATTCATGTTGTATCATAAAGCTAGTGTTTGTCAAAATGATGATTGTGTTAAGCAATTCATATTAAAAAAATAAAATTGCGATAATTTTCAGAAATTTGCATTCGCTGTCCCTCTCCCACTTTTTCTCTCTCGCTGGACTATTTTTCTCAACAGAAGACGAAGGAACGATAAAATCGAACGAAGTTAAAGTTCATGGATATCGATTTGCGATAACCCACAGTGGCTGCCCTCCGCTTTTGGGGCCGCACTTCCGAGACTCTCCTCACGTTTCGACGTTGATATTAATTCCATCGCGTGTGCAGCCAGCATACTGTCGTTACCTAGAGACGACCCGTTATTCAATTCTCGTCTAACGCTTTCACCTTATGAACCGTGTGCGCGTCCTGATTTACGAAAACCGCAATTGTGCGTATGGAGAGAGTGAGAGCAAAGTTGGACAGAGAACGCAACTAAAGTCGACGTGAGCAGTCCCTTCGACCTTCAAATATCTTCACAAAAAGAACGATTCTGGTAAAGTATTTAAAAATTTAGCTAGCCTTTTGGGTATACGGCAAACCCGGCTTTTTCCAATGCTTTCCAATTTTTTGCCATTGCTTATATAACTTTTTTACATTAATAAAGATATAAACATATTTGCTCGGTACTGTTATGTTTCTCAGTATTTGGCGTTTCGATTGAAAAACAATTTTTTACAATATGTTCATTTTTATAAAAGTCACAAGCAATCGAATTGGATAGGTATACCACAATGCAGTGTGTTGTTCTCGTAGTGTGTCGTTTAAGGGTTAAATACAGATGTGAAAATAATTTTATTGAACCATCCAAATAATTATGCAGGATGTTCAAGCATAATAAGCAATACCGCAAAAAGTTTTAACATTCTAGCAATTAATTTGGGCGTCCTACATAATTATTTTGATAATCTAACAAAATTATTTTCAGGTCTGTATCTAGTTAAATTTTTAGATACTTTAGTAAAACCGTTCTTTTCGTGAAAGAGATACGTGATTTTCATTCTTCATATGAAAGGATTAACAATTGAGTTTCT